TTTTTTTTTAAGTAAAGGGTTTAGAGAGTTATTTTATCGTGATAACATTAATGATGAGTAAATGTTTATTGTATTATTAATAAAATAAAAATATAATAAACTACTAAAAAAAATTTTATATACTTGGGGGGATATAGGGAGAGTAGGATACAATTTGGATCAGTAAAAAAATCTCAAAAGGGCGTGTGAGGTCCTAAAAAATTAGGCTTAGAGAGCCAGGATCGAGTTGCGTAGTTGAGCTCGAGAGGTGCCTAAAAATGAGCTCAAACGCTGCACTCGAGCCAATAGGTGATAAACGATATACCAAGGCTGAGCTTATAGGGGTCAAGCTCTTCCTCTGAGTTTATGACAACTAGGCTCTTTCTTAACAATGAGCCAATAAAAATTGAACTCTTCTTCGTAGTTGAGCTCATTTTCTTGGTTGAGCCCATGACAAAAGTTGGGCTCTTCCCTGAAACTAAACTCCTGATATCTTCTTCTTAGTTGAGCCCATCTTCTTGGTTGAGCCCATGATAAAAGTTGGACCCTTCCCTGAAACGAAACCCGTGATATTGAACTCTGAGTCTTAGCCCATCAAAATTAAGCTCTCTTTTTTAAGGTTAAGCTTATAATATTAAACTCTTCCTTAAGAATGCGCACATGGGCAGTTAAGCCCAAACATGTTGCCCGAAACCATAGGTTATTGGATCTTCAAAGCTTTTTAAGTTTCTTTAAAATTTGAGATTATCAATTTCTATAAGAAGCAAAACGCGTCGTCTTGGCAGCATGAGGTAAATGGTCAATGGAGGCGGCATTTGTGACAAAGCATCCACCAAGATTCAAGAATACTAAGCTCAAGTTCCATATATGTTGCCTAAAACTATAATTCAATGTCAAGTGCATACACAAGCAAAGAATCAGCATGTAGAAGTTACAACCATTACTAACAATTTTCATCTATGTTGGTTCGAAAAATAAAATCTTCTCCCTCTAATTCTTCTTGAAATAGACAAATGGACGGTATTTCATTCTTTCCACGAGACCCTTCGTCACTTGATGATCTCTTCCCCTGAAAATGTTGATTTATCAATATAAAACAAGAAGAAATATAACACAAATCAGAAATATGTCACAAAGGGAGAGAAGCGGCAAATTGTGGAAGCGTTGAATCATTAAGCAGTTAAATTCTTGGCATATCTAAATAGCACCCTGCCTCATAAATCATACAAATTAAGTGAACTCGTTGTAGAAAAACACCTGCATGCCTTACACGATAAGAACATAGATTGTCTACAGGACACAATTAAGAGCGAAAATCCCAGGACTTGCCTTCCTCAAGACATAGAAAAAGTAGTGAAATCCATCACCAAAAGTGCTCCACTCTACAGACCAAGTGAAGTCCGGAGCATCAAATAAAGGACGCCTAAAATGTGGCTGCATAAGATGGATTTCAAGTAAGAATAATGGTGCATACAACACCCACCATTGAGTCCCCAACACCCAAAAAGAAAAAGGCAATTCTGTGTTTGTTAGTCCAACCTGGCCAAAAGAGATCGAGATAAAAATGCCATCTGGTTTCAGAACCCTGTGAACTCCTTCAAGCATTGCCTTCACTTGGGCTACTGTTTCAGGCCTTGGATTCCATGGGTCACCACTGTTGACGAATAATACATCCTTCAAGGTATGGGGAAATAGAGTAAATAAACACACACAATGTCATTAAAATCCCAGACAAGGACAAGAAGGAAATAATAATCTGATCAATAAAATGTCAAGCTGAAGTTCCAACACAAATAAAAAGACAGTCTCGATTGCCTCTTTACCATGGTTCCTTTCTCAATAACCACATCAAAACATTCGTCATTAAAGGGCAGGTCTAGCATGTCAGCTTCCAGCACTTTTATTTCTGATGATAGAGGGGAAAAAGAAAGAAAAGCTTAGAACACCACTGCATTTTTGAAAAACAACTGCTTGTTACCCCACACAGATTTCCCCCTTCTTATCTACTAACATGTTTCACAAAGTTTATCATATATACATTGAAACAAGTTTTGTTTTACTTGAACAGCCCAAACAAACTAATCAGATGATATAAAATCCAGCAATTCATCATCAGCTGGTAGGAAGTAGAGACCAACAAATCTTTGGTTCCTACATCTCCACAAGTTTCTTTAATTGTGTTGCATCAAAAGATTATTTTATGAACTGAACTCAACTTTCCACCATAAATTGCAGACTACCATTCATTGTATCCTAGCAGCAAATTGCATAATTAAAAGAACTACTATTCAACGTTATGATGGCATAAACAACTACAAAGGAGAAACAAACCTTTATACCCCTTAGCTTCCAACCGTTTCTGCATCTTCTCGACCGCAACAGCGGACAAATCAATGCAAGTAACCTCAGTAATTCCATCTCTGTACATTTCTTCACACAACTGTGAATTCCCACAACCAAGCTCCAACACCTTCAATGAACCATTCAAACTTTCTTATCGCAAAAACAAGCACAGTAAAAACAAACAATTCTTGAAAGTAAAAAATAAATAAAAGAACCCAACAGCAACAAGCAAGAGAGAGAGTGACTACAGAGGAGGTTGAAGGGATGTGGGCTTGAATAAGATGGCGAAAATGAGAGTAGTCTTTGAACCATTCGTAATGTTCCTCCTTAGAGAATCTCTCGTTCCAGTAGTGAGGATCCTGGTAAGCCAGAGCAGTAGAGGGAGGCTCGGTGGTCGGCTTTCGGGACCCTTCCATTTCAGGGTTTCTCAGCTTAGGTTCGCTTTCTACTTGCCTTCTTCCTCCTCTTCCACAGTGCAGAAACCCTGAACCCTAAATGCTTGGGCCTCGATATAACGAGTCCATCTTGTTATTGGAATTTCAGGTTTTTAGAACCAATCCACACTTCTTTAAAAACGACCTTTTTTTCAGCGAACCGATCTGGTTCATCTAGAGATTGGTTGTCTCGTTGAACTTGAACCTATTATGTTTCATAAATTATTTTGCTAAAAACTATTATAAATTATTTTTTATATTTAACATGGTACATGCTAATAAATACACGATATACTATATTATTTATGATTTATTGAAAAACATATATATATTATAATTTAACTAGTATTAAACAATGATGAATAGTTCAGCCAATAAACCACCAAAATAATTTTTTTTATTTAATATTTAATAGTTATTTGAAAGTGTAGGATGCTTAAAATAACCATTTTTTAAATTATTTTTTGTTTAGAAATGTATTAAAATAATATTTTTTATTTTAAAAAAATATTTTTAATATTAGTATATCAATCAAAAAAACATAAAAAAAATAAATATATTTTTTTAAATTTTTAAAAAACATGATTTCAATTGCTTTCAAAACTCATTTTATTTCTTTGCACTTACCATAAAATAAAATCTTAAATTTATGGGTTCTCCCTTTTGTCTTTAACAAGACTTGATCTTAGCCTACTTCAAAGCATCTAAAAAATGTCATAAGTTGCCATGTAAATACCTTGATAGCTTATAATGAAAATTGTGATATGAACGCTAGCTTTTGATAATCCAATTGCTCTTTGAACTTTGAGGTGTTGTTCTGGTGACTCGTGATACTCAATGGATCAATATGAAAACGAGTGCTAGAAGCCGACCAATACGCTAGAATTAATAAACCATATTTTGGAGCATAACCTTGTAGAATTAGAGCCAGATAACACAACCAGTTAATCACAAGCAAAATCTTTTTGAGGCCTTTCATGAATGAATTGTACTTCTAAGTTCTGTCCATGAAATTACTCAAGAAAGAGGTCAAACTGTCGGATTGATTTTGCTGAGTTTACGTTAAATTGGTCAAGAGAATAATCATGATACAGTTAATAAGAAAAACATTACAAGTAGCATTTATTATGAAATCATAGAAAAGGATTCCGCAGTTTCTGTTGCTAGCCTCTTCATAGGTTGCAAGTAAAAATGCTGCAGGAATTCTCCAATGAAATGTCATTGTTGATACTTAGCTCTGCAATATAACATTCTATAGCTTCAGTGAAGGCGTTGGAGATGCTGGAGGCTTTAGGTCTTCATACCTTGAGATGAAAGAAACAGAGAAACTCAATGGCATAAAAGGAAAAAAAAAAAAAGTGGCTTTATGAAATGACTAAACTCTGTAGATAACCATTACCACGGGAAGTTTGATGAAAAATAAGTGGAAATCAGAAATCAAGCTTACATGGGATAGGGTGATAGTGGCTTTTGATTCGGCTCTGTATGATGTTGCTTGTCGATTGTTGCTGCCATTGGAGGCGCACGGTCACCTGTCTCGGGCACCGCATTTGTGGCGGATTTTGGTATGACTGATCCCACTGGTGCAGTTGGAGATGGTGATGTGGGGGGTTTGAGATCAGCATATCTGAAAACGCAATTAGTAGGACATAAATGACATGGGAAGATGAAATCATGAATTTGACACCGAGCATAATTTTTTAGCAGAATGAGAAACTTCCACAGTTGAGACTACGTGAGGGAATAAAAATTGGGTGCTCAATTCTCATTCTATATCAAAAACATGTTTTGTGTTCCAAATGCAATGGCCAATCATTATATGAAGTAGCAGGAGCAGGAGCAGTAAAAGTGTAAAGTACTAATAGAAGGCTTACGCAGCATAAGGAGAAAGAGGCCTGGTTGTCTTCGTTTCTACTGGACCTGGTTTTGTTTCAGCTACGCCAGGTGCTGGCATAGGTGGAGTATCTGGAGTAGCAGGCTTTGATACTGCTTCTAATGGACTGGCACTTTCTTTCTTGCTACTGGGTTGAGTTGGAGTGGGAGAAGTAGGTGGTTTCAGATCATCGTAACTGTCGATAACAGTAACACAATCGCATAACTTAGCAGCAGCAAAAACATAAACGTTTTGGACTGAAAATAAGTTCATTTTGTTAAATGTTGTATTCCATAACGAGCAAATACTTTTTTTTTTTTTATCAATTTACAGACTCTCTATGATAATGGTCAGATTCTAGGCCCTCAATTTTTGGCTTTTATCCCTCTCAATAGAAGGCCTGCATGTGGCCTTGAAAGATCAGGAAAGAGCTTCACATGACTGGCCATGCGGGTGACTTTTACAAGAACCTAACATGGAACTCATTGCAGCTACAACAAATAACAGCTCTTGATGTAGCTTCTCAAACAAAGTGGGAACATGTTAGATTGGACTTACATGGTATAAGGAGAGAGTGGCCTTGTCACCATGAGAAACTTTTACAGTTGAAGACTACGTGAGAGAATAAAAATTGGGTGCTCAATTCTCATTCTATATCAAAAACATGTTTTGTGTGCCAGATGCAATCGCCAATCATTAAATGACGGAGCAGGAGCAGTAAAAGTGTAAAGTACTAAAAGAAGGCTTACGCAACATAAGGAGAAAGAGGCCTGGTTGTCTTTGTTTCTACTGGACCTGGTTTTGTTTCAGCAACGCCAGGTGCTGGCATAGGTGGAGTATCTGGAGTAGCAGGCTTTGATACTGCTTCTAATGGACTGGCACTTTCTTTCTTGCTACTGGGTTGAGTTGGAGTGGGAGAAGTAGGTGGTTTCAGATCATCGTAACTGTTGATAACAGTAACACAATTGCATAACTTAGCAGCAGCAAAAACATAAACCTTTTGGACTGAAAATAAGTTCATTTTGTTAAATGTATTTGATAAGGAGCAAATTCTTTTTTATCAAATTACAGACTCTCTATGATAATGGTCAGATTCTAGGCCCTCAATTTTTGGCTTTTATCCCTCTCAATAGAAGGCCTGCATGTGGCCTTGAAAGATCAGGAAAGAGCTTCACATGACTGGCCATGCGGGTGACTTTTACAAGAACCTAACATGGAACTCATTGCAGCTACAACAAATAACAGCTCTTGATGTAGCTTCTCAAACAAAGTGGGAACATGTTAGATTGGACTTACGTGGTATAAGGAGAGAGTGGCCTTGTCACCATAGCTTTTGCCCAGGCAGGTTCCTTTTGAGAAGGAGAGCTCGGAGCCTTAGGTTCAACAATCTTTGGAGGCACAGGCTTAGGCACATCTGCTGCTTGTGGTTCCTGAGAACACAATATCATCATCTACTCGCTGTTTTCTTTCCTTGCTTTTTTATATGATGCAGAGAAAGAAAATAAAAGAAAAATACAAGAGCTTTGGTAAATAGGGTTGCACTATGCTTGCTACATTCAAATTATACCTTTGGCTCAGCACGTTGAGATGGTATTTTTGCGAGGAGCTCATCCATAGGGGTCAATGGTGCAGTTGTCTCTGCAATTACTTCAACCACTTTACAATATGAAAGCCCACGGTTATTGGCCATAAATGCCATAAGTTCTGCAACCTGCAATATTGGGACTGCCTTTTGTAATTCCTTTCTTTCTAGCATGCACCACAATTTTGGCCAGTAACTGGTAGGTTTTACATGAGATCACACCCAACATGCCACCAGGGATGAGTAAAATGAAACATAAATTTTGCTAGCAGTCTAGAGATATAAGCTGCTTGATAAAAAAAAAATTGATGGACAGAAACGGGTCCTGGCCTAAAGCAGAAAAAGAAGGTAATGTCTTTACAACCTTCCTCAAAATCTTGATGATTTTTTAACAGGGTTCTGACATGGATTACAGGCACATGAAAAGAAGTAAGACTTAGCATCAATTAAGTACATGACTGCTATATTCTAAGGAAAGGAAATGGAAATGCACAGATGCAGACTAGAAGTGAGTGTTGTTCATTATTTCATTCTCTGTTCTAAAGCCTGAAGTTGAGGTTATTTTCCTTGCAGACAGGTGGAAAACACGTCCACAAAGAAAGTTAAAGAATCTCTAATGTAAAATTTTAATGAACCGCACCTGAAGATTCGACACCAGGCCACCAAATAGGGTATCTTCCTCTGAAAGGGTGATGTTATGAGTTTCCTTGTAAGCATCAGTAGGCCTCTCCATTCCACCAGGTCTTACTATCTGAAGAGAATTTATAAATAATTCAGTTCAAGCTAATATAAACTAGCATACTCTTATGACCTGTGTGTCCATTTAATGCAGTTGCAGGTTCTTACAGTGTAAGGAACACCGCTTGCTATGAGTGCTTCTTCTGCTTTCCTCTTCCAAATTAGGACTCCCCAAAACAAACTTAGCAGAAAAAATGAAGGAAAATCAGCATTTGTCACCTACTAACGATTCACATGCTAATTCTCCTTCCCAAATCACTAAACTTACTTTAGAATAGCAGCAGGAAATCCGACTTTGTTCGTACCCAATGATGAAACCATAATAAAATGGTTAACCTTTGCAGCAGTTGCTGCAAACAAGAACAATACTCATTTTTCTAAAACAAAACGCTTTAAGCTGTCACACAGGCCGATGTCTTTTTTACCTGCATCAACGAGGTTTTTAGTAGCCAGATAGTCAATCCGACAAGGCCCTGTAACATCAAACACCTCCTTCTCACCGGCACCAATGCAGCATAGAAGCACAGATGCATTGCCTAATGCCGGTCCAATCTGATTTGGTTTCTCCAAATCACATTCCACAATTTCGAGCCTTTCCACAGCTGGGCTAAAGACCAGGGTATATCTGTTATAATGGAGCTGTTGGAGGCCTTCTTCTCTAAATGAAAATGATTTACATTTTTTTTTCATCACCGTCTTACTTTCTTTCAATGTTCAAGTAAATTAGAAATGCTTACGCTGGGATCCTTCAACATCAAGCTTTATTGCCATAACACTCTGCAAATGGATTGCTCTTTTAGTAAACATGCTTTGAAAGAAAAACAAATGTAGTAAATCGACTCCTTTGAACTCTGAAATTTATACCTGCACAAGAGCTTCTGCTTTTTGGGCACTCCTGACGCCAGCTCTAACTCGAAATCCAAGCTTGAGAAGCTCCCTGAAGCAAATTCAAATGTCAAAGAATACCTGTAAAACAATCACCAAACTGAAAAAAATTGAGCACTAGAAAATTACCTCACTGCTCTTGAGCCAACTCTACCAGTAGCACCAGCAACAAATGCAAGATTCTCATCTTTTGTTTCCACCTCCTTTGAATCTGCCTCAACTGCCCCAGACCTAAATTTCGCAGCAACTTGTAAAACATGAATATCAGTCAAAAATAAAAATTCCTCAATGCCATTCAAAGGAAATGAAACCCATCTCTCCATTTATGACATTGATGATCAAGATCATAACTAAGAGCAATGAGAAAATCAAAACGAACCCATTTCAAGAAACAAAGAAAGATGACGAATAAAGTTAGGCATGTTCTTGTTATGTATGTACCTGAAGCTTGAGCTTTGATATCAAGAATTTTGAGCTTTCTTGAATGCGGGAACTTATTGAAATGAGGAAACTTGAGGAGCTGACCGTGTATATAAGATTTCTCAATGAACCCACATTTGGTTAAAGAAGTCGGTATGGTGGTTATAGCTGATGATTGCAGGCAACCACCCTCCATCTTCGGGGAATAGTATTAAGGCTGTTTCGATCCTGCCTCGGTTCTTGAACTGAAAATTCAAGAGACAGACACACAAGTGGTTTAATTATCTTTTGTATCTGCTTTGCAGCTTGGCAGTTGTGGCAATCTCCACTCCATGTGGATTTGATGGGTCCCAACGGAATGTTCATGCTTTGATTACGGCCATTGACTATTTGGTACTTCTTCTTCTTTTTTTCCAATCATTTTATCGCCTGTAAATAAATGTATTTTGCTAGAGGTGGTGGATGATATTTTTTTTAAAATATTTTTTTTATTTGTGTAAATATATTAAAATAATAAATTGTTAAAAAATATTTTTTTTATTAATATATAAAAAATCTAAAAAATAAATTAAAAATTAAAAATAATTTTAAAAGCATGGTTGAACAAAAAGATACCTTAACCACTCAAAGAAATATTAAATTTATTTTTTAATAATTTTTATTTGTTAATATTAAAAATAAAAAATAATTTAAAAAAACACAAAGATTAGCATTTGATTAAAAATTATAATCTTTATTAGTAAAGTATTCATCTAGCAATTAAAACACTGCTTCAGCTTCATAAAAAAATATAAATTTAATTTATAAAAATTGTATTTATTAAAAAAAATAGTTATAAATTCTAAACCGGATTAATCTAATATTTTTTAAATTAAACCGGGCTAGTCTAGCATTTTTTAAAGAGTGTAAGATACTCGGGTTAATGAAACACAAAAAGAAGCTAACGAAAAAAAAAGAAATCCATCGACTTTTCCTTTTTATTTATCCATTTTAAGAACCAAACTCATGGTGAGTTGTGGCAGGGGCTGCACGGCACCTACGAGTCATAACCCTAATACCCCCTTCGATCAAACTTTTTTTTTTTTAATGTATATGAAAATAATGTATGTAATTTAAAACTCAATATCATTAGATCAATTGATTGTAGCGCACCAAAAATAAAATCGATATGGAGATGAGGGTTTATAATATATTTGAAGCTGAAGATGGTCATATTAAATAAGAAAGCATGGAAATCATAATGTGTTTAATTAATTCGCATGTCTTTCTACAAGCCAAATTAATACATTGGAGTGGTTCTATGATTTGGACTAAGAGCTGGTAATGACATTGACTTGAACTCTCGTTTCACCATGATTAAAATAATAAATTTTTAATTTTTTAAAAATTATTTTTAATATCAATACATTAAAATGACTTGAAAATATAAAAAAATATTAATTTAAAGCAAATAAAATTAAAAAAAATTAATTTTTTTCAAAAATATTTTTAAAACACAAAAATAAATAAGACCTCATGAATATCTTTTTTTACATTCATGTCTTCTATAACAAGATCATATGGTAAGATCTCTAGATCTTTCTTTCCACCGTATGTAGTTATATTGATTTTAAAAACACATAAAAATATCAATTTTATATTTTTCAAATAAAGAGTAGTTATTAAAACAAAAACAAACACTTGGGTGCATGGTTGTTAAAAATGTGTTTTGACTCGTAAAATTGTTCCATTTTAGGAGTCAAAATATATAAAACATGTAAATCATGGTTAAAACTCAAAAACTAGTAAAATCAGTCAAACCCGCATGAAAATGGGTCAACTCATAAAAAATGTTTAAAACATAATGTTTTCACGATTTCATGTGAAATTTAAACAAATGCTCCTGTGCTGACTCAGCAGTCCTTTTTTCCAGTCCCTACCCCACCCGTGAGGCCGTGACTAACACTTCACTCTAGTGACTCCATATTTCGTCCCTTGTCTCCCTAACTCCCTTCCCTTTTTCCCCAACAGATTAAGAAATTACTTTCCCCAGATCTTGAGCGTTCTTTGCGAGATAAAGGTAAAAATTTATTTCCAATCCCAAGCTTTGTTTTTTCTGTCTAATGGTGGTGGTGATTAGAGACAAAAAAATTATCTGGGTATTATGTGAATTTGTGTTTATCTTCTACTATTAATTTGTTTGCTTCTGTTCTATTAAAACGGGTCAACTCATAAAAAATGTTAAAAACATAATGTTTTCACGATTTCACGATTTCACGTGAAATTTAAACAAATGCTCCTATGCTGACTCAGCACTCCTTTTTTCCAGTCCCTACCCCACCCGTGAGGCCATGACTAACACTTCACTCTAGTGACTCCATATTTCGTCCCTTGTCTCCCTAACTCCCTTCCCTTTTTCCCCAGCAGATTAAGAAATCACTTTCCCCAGATCTTGAGCGTTCTTTGCGAGATAAAGGTAAGAATTTATTTCCAATCCCAAGCTTTGTTTTTTCTGTCTAATGGTGGTGGTGATTAGAGACAAAAAAAATTATTTGGGTATTTTGTGAATCTATGTTTATCTTCTACTATTAATTGGTTTGCTTCTGTTCTGTTAAATCCATGGCATGAAGAACGACATAATAGATTTTTTTATGTTTCTTGTAATTTTTAATTTTCTTGGAGGGGGAGTGGTGCTATTAGTCCTTCTATGTTTCTTGTAATTTCTAATTAATCATCGATTGAAGCTGTCTAACGATGTTGCACTTTTGTGTGTTGTAATTTCTTGTAATTTTTACCTATGCTCTATGTGATTTTGCTTGCTAGTTTTGGTGTGAGTCTGCATAGACAACAAAGCATACCAAGATTGCATTATTGCTAAGGTCACTTTCCATTATCTTTAACTAAGCTTCTTAATTATATAAAATTTTGAGAGAAAACTGAATGTGAAGGGAATTTAGATGTAATTTATCTGGGTATTCTGTGAGTCTGTGTAATTTCTTGCTTGCTAGTTTTGTGTGTTGTAATTTCTTGTAACTAAGATTGCTAGTTCTCAATGTTTCAAGATTTTTTATATTTTGCATGTAAATTTGAGAGAAAACTGAATGTGAAGGAAATTTAGGTAGGTATGAAAAGTAATAATTTTATAATACTAGTTGATAACCTATGAAGAAACAAAATCTATGGTGTGCAATCTTGAAATTGCTTGTATGGTAAGTTGACAATTTGACTGCTAGGATTTCAGCTCATTATTAGGGATAGTTGATTGTAAATTCTTACAGAAAAATTCAATCATGTTTCATTTACTGCTAGGATTTACTACTTAGGTGAAAATATGTTTTTTTTTGTTAAGTTCATTGTTATTTTGGCAACAAGAACTCTTAGGATTGAGTTTGTTGAGAAATATTTGGCAACAAGAACTCATAAGATTGAGTTTTTAGAGAAATATTTTACTTACGATTTTATGATTTTTAGTTAAATTTTTTTACTTGTGATTTTACTATTTTATGATTCGAGTTTACAATTCAAGTTTATATTGTATGTTCTGTATCGTGTTAAAAAAAGCATTTTTGACAACTTTATTTGGTTGCAATTCCTACAACCAGCTAGTAAGTTTTTGTTTTTGTTTTTGTTTTTTTTTTATTATTCCTTTTAATTCTTAGCATGGATTAATTTTTAGATACCTATAATTTATCAAAATTCACACATTCATTAATATCTCTTGTTCTAATAAAAAGATCTTTAGTGAACATGTTTTGTGATATGGGATGGAAGATATAATGATGAGTAATTTATTATCAACCATAAAAGAATCAAGGAAGAAGAGAAGAAGAGGTAAGAGTAGGAAGAATGTTATTTATTATTTTCTGCATAATTCCGAACAATCTACTAGCTATATTTTATAGTCCACTAAACTGGAAAAGGTAAACAGCTTGCTTAAAGATAGGAAAGCACTAACAATAAGAAAATATTCCTCCCACTACACTAGTTTCCAGCAATTATCAGTAACCACCAAAGACCCATTTCTTTATTAGTAACCAATAAAGACCCATTCCTCATTCGCCCCTACATACGTGTTCCACTACATACACATACCTATGTACTATTCCATTTTATATGGATAAACATATCAATTTCCCACTTAAGATTCCTTGTCCGTAAGGAAATGCAGGATATGACTTAGCCAAGCGGTGTTTATCTTCCCAAGTGGCATCATCTTCTGAGGCGCCCCTTCCATTTGATGAGAACTTTAACCTTGGGATGGTATTGAGCGGTGTTTATCTTCCCAAGTGGCATCATTCTTGAATGAGAACTTTAACCTTGGGATGGTATTGGCCTTCTTGAATGACTCTGCGATCAAGAACTGTCTTAGGTTGAGGAAGAATGTTGGCTTTATTAGTCACAAGAGGAAGCTAAGTAGAGATAGTAGTGACAGGACCAACATGTTTTTTTAACATTCTAACATGAAAGACGTTGTAAATCAAAGAACTCAAAGGCAAAGCCAATCGATAAGCGACTAGTCCAACTTTTTCTGTGATTTGATATGGACCAAAATACCAGGGTGACAGTTTCAAAAAGCTACAAAATACCACCGATGTCTGTCGGTAAGGTTGCAGTTTCAGGCATACAAAGTCACCCATCTCATAGATGACCTTATGGCGCAGCTGATTCGCTTGACATTTCATCCGTGCTTAAGTTAATGAGAGATTCTTTCTTAACTCACACAGAATGACATCTCGATTACATAAATATCCATCAACAACTTGTATGTTGGAAGTCCCCAGAACGTACATCAATAAATTTGGAGGTAGAACTCCATACACTGCTTCAAAAGGTGTCATTTTGGTAGCTGAATGAACTGAGGTGTTATAAATAAATTCTGCCTATAGAATCCAGTCAATCCATTTATGTGGTTGGTCCTTGCTAAACACTACAAGTACTGCTCCAAGACACGATTAATCACCTTCATTTATCCGTTGGTTTGAGGGTGGTAACTTGAACTCATGCATAACTTAGTTCCCTAAAGCCGAAACAGGGTTCGCCAAAAAGAGATAATAAATATTTGGTCCTGGTCACTTACTATGAAAGCTGGGATTCCATGCAGTCGAACTATGTGAGAGACGAAAGCCTATGCAACCATGATAGTTATATATGGATGTTTCTTGGGAACAAAATATGCATATTTAGACAAACGATCAACAACAACCATAACTACTGTATGACCACTGGATGGTGGCAACCCTTTAATAAAATCCATGGATATGTCAGTCTATACCCTTTCAGGAATTGACAATGGCTGGAGTAAGCTTGCAGGTTG